TGGCTGGCTGGAGTGTTGTGGGAATCGAACTACAGCAACCTGAGGCTGACAGCTTTGTGGAAGCAGCCACTTAAAGAACTGAGCTATGGCCAGGCCCCCTGTTTTAATGTTTAGATCTTTAATCTATTTTGTTTTTATTTTAGTGTATGGTGATAGACCTGGGTCCTGTTTTATTTTTTGGCATGTAGAGAGCCAGATTTTCCAGCACCATTTGTTAAAGAGGCTATCTTTCTTCCAATAGGCATGTTTGGCCCCTTTTTCAAAGGTAAGGTGGCTGAGTGGTTTGTAGTTTCTTCTACATCTTCTAATTTATTCCACTGATCCTCAGGTCTATTTTATTTGCCAAACCATGTTGATTTTATCACAGTAGCTTTGTAGTATAATTTCAAGCCAGGAATTGTAATGCCTCCAGCCTTGTCTTTGTTGCCCTGGATTGCCTTTGCTATTCTAGGTCTTTTCCGGTTCCAAATAAACTTTAAAAATGATTTCTCTAGGTCTGTGTGGTACGTTTGTGGCATTCTGATATGGATTTCATTAAATCTCAATTTGTTCTGTGTTAGTGTCCTCTGCACTTCTTATGGGTGGGCTTGAGGTTTGAGATTGCATTTTGCTCCTTCTCATTGTCATTTTGTGTAGCACTGTCTTCTGACCTTTGTTGTAGAGCTTTGGTGCAGTTATAACCTTAGCACCTACTGAAATTCAGGTACAGATCTGCAAAGTTTGGATTTATCCAGCTGTTCCTGGCTTGGGTTTGGCTGCTGTGCTCAGCTCCTTCCTGCTGTTGCCCTTAGGAGTGAGCCTGTTGTGTCCCTCTGGCAAGATGTTCTGCTCCTGGACTAGCTGGGTGGTTGTGTCCCCTACTCTCTCTGCAGGGATTGTAGCTGCACTGTTTCACCCCAGGCCTGTATGCCAGGCCTGAACTGAGTCTAGAGGGGACAAGGTGTAGTAGGGGAGAGAGAAAGCTCACCCACATACTCACCAGGCCTGGGCTAGGACTGAATCTGGAGGTTCCCAGAACACGGCAGAAATTCTCATTTCGTGGGAAGGGTTGGGTGGGGGTGCTGCAGAGTGGTGGCGGGTTCCCAAGGGGATGGAAGAAGGTCTCACCCATGCTGTGCTTGGGCTTGGACTGGCAGTTCTCACCAGCGCAGGGTAGTCAGAAGCTCTCCCACACACTCACTGGGCCTGGGCTAGGACTGTATCTCTGGATTTCATTAAATCTGTATAACAATTTTGGGAGTATGTCCATCTTCACAATGTTGGTTCTTCCTATCTAGGAGCAGGGAATAACTTTCCATTTTCTAAAATCCTCTGTGATCTCCTTTTTCAGAGTACTGTAATTTTCATTGAACAGGTAGAATTTTCACTTCTTTAGTTAGATTAATTCCTAAGTACTTCATATTCCATGGTGTTATGATAAAAAGGTATTGTTTCTCTAATTTCCCTCTCAGTGTGTTTGTTATCTGTGTAGAGGGACACTGTTGACTTTTGGGTTTTGACTTTGTAGCCTTCCATGCTACTGAATTTGCATATTAATTCTAATAGCTTCTTGGTGGAGTTTTTTGGGTCTTCCAAGTAGAGTATCTTGTCATCTGGCACTAATAATATTTTAACTTCTTCTTTATCCATTCTTATTCCTTTTATTTTTCTCTCTTGTCTAATAGCTCTCACTAATGATTCCAGAATTCTATTGAATAGAATGTTAATAGAGGACATCCTTTTCTTGTACCAGATCTGGGGGCCTGGCCCTAGCTCAGTTCTTTAAGTGGCTGCTTCCACAAAGCTGTCAGCCTCAGGTTGCTGTAGTTGGATTCCAAAACACTCCAGCCAGCCAAAGCACCCCTGAGGGCATTCGGAGAAAAAAAAATCCTTCTTGTACCAGATCTGAGAGTAAAAGATTTCAGTTTTTTGCCATTTAGAATTATGTTAGCTGTTGGGTTGTCATAGATGGCTTTTATCAGATTGAGGTAGAGGCCATCTATTCCAATTTTCTGTAGGACTTTGAACATGAATAAGGGTTGGACTTTGTCAAAAGACTTCTGCATCAATTGAAATGATTGTGTGGTTTTTGGATTTGCCTCTATTTATATAGCATATTACACTTATAGATTTGCATATATTGAACCATCCTTGCAGCCCTGGGATGAATCCTACCTAGTCATGGTGCATAATCTTCTCAATGATTTGCTGTATTCTATTTGCTAGGATTTTATTGAGGATTTTTGCATCGATGTTCATGAGGGAGATTGACCTGTAATTCTCTTTTTTTAGTTGTGTCTTTCCCTGGTTTTGGTATCAGTATAATACTTGCCTCCAGGAATGATTTTAGAAGGATTATTTCCTTTTCAATTTCATTGAAGAATTTGAGGAGTATTGGGATTATATCTTCTGTAAATTTCTTGTGGAATTCAGCTGTGAAACCATCAAGACCTGGACTTTTCTTTTCTTAGTTTTTTAATACATTTTGTATTTCATTGGTTGTTATTGGGTTATTGAGAGTTCTTATTTCTTCTTGATTCAGTTTTGGTAATTTATACCTTTCTAGGAATCTTTCCATTTCATCTGTGTCTTCTATTCTGTGAGAGTAAAGATTCTCAAAGTAGCTATGTATGATGTTCTGAATTTCCACTGGGTCTGTGGTAATGTCACCCTTTTCATTACTTATTGCTTATATTTGAGTTTTTTCTTTCCTCTTTTTTATGAGGTTACTTAGGGGCTTATCAATTTTGTTTAATCTTCAAAGAATCAGCTTTATGATTCGTTTATTCTTTGCACTGTTTTCTTTTTCTCAATTGAATTATTTTCTGTTCTAATCTTTATAATTTCCTCCTGTCTTTGGGCTTTTAGTTTGGTTTGCTCTTTCTTGTCTAGATGTTTGAGGTACAGCATTAGGGTATTTATTTGTTCCTGTTCTATTTTCCTAATGTGTAAGTTCACAGCTATAAATTTCCCTCTGAGAACTGCTTTCATTGCATCCCATAAATTCTGATAAGTTGTGCTTGAATCTTTATTGAACTGTAGATATTATTTAATTTCTTGTTTAATTTCATCTGTGACCCATTGGTTGCTGAAGAGGGTGTTGTTTAATTTCCATATGTTTATGGGTTTTTTGTGGCTTCTTTTGTCATTTATTTCTAGTTTCATTTCACTGTGGTCGGATAATATGCCTGGGATAATTGCTCTTTTCTTGCATATACTTAAGCATGACCTATGGACTAGTGTGTAGAAAATGTCCCATGTGCAATTGAAAAAAATGTGTATTCACCTGTGGTTGGGTGGAACACCCTATATATGTCCACTAAGTCCATTTTTTCCAAGTTTTGGTTCAGTTCTATTACTTCTTTTCTAATTTTTTTTTTTTTTTGGAACTGGACCCTGCACTTGCCAGGGAAGCACTTATTCCACTGAGCCTTCTCCCCGGCCCCCTTCTTTGCTAATTTTTGTCTGCTTAACCTATGTTTTTGGGATAAGGGGGTGTTAAGTTCTCCTGTTAAGACTGTGGTCTTGGATATTAGATTTTTCATGTCCATTAAGATTTGTCTTACATAGTTGGGTACTCCCATGTTTGGTGCATACATATTTATGAGTGTTACCTCTTCCTCTTGAATTTTTCCCCTAAGAAGTGTATAGTGGCCTTCTTTATTTCATTTGATTATTCTTTGTTTGACGTTGAGACTGCCTGCAAACCAGATTTCTACCCCTGCTTTTTTCTGTGGTTCTGGGGTGTGTAGTATTGTTTTCCATCCTTTGACTTTCAGCCTATGAATTTCTTTATGAGTTATGTGTGTTTCTCATACACAACATTTTGTTGGATATTGCTTCCTAATCCACTGTGCCAGTGGGAGGCAAAAGGTAACCAAGATGAACTAGTCTGCCTGGAAGACTCCAGGTACATCAAGGGGAGGTGATCAAACAGAACTTAAGGGAACTAACTTAAACACAGATTCGCAATTTAATATCTGCTTAGCTATACAGACATAATGTTTGCTCTTACTATCTAAATACAATCCCATTAGTTATAAAAGTTGATGTCTATTAGTGTCACATTGTTCATCTTTGCATTGTCTTGCAGATGTTAAATAATTTTTTCCCACATCCTAGTTTTTTTGTTTTTTTTTTTTGTGTGTGTGTGTGTGTGTGTGGAACCGGGGATTGAACTCAGGCCCTTGCGCTTGCCAGGGAAGCGCTTATTCTACTGAACCATCTCCTCGGCCCCGATCCTAGTTGTTATTAAGAGATCTTTTTTCACCTTTTCAGTAGCTGAGACAGTGTCTTCAAGATCTGAAACTCCATGTTCACTTTATTCAGATGGTTTTGCAAACTTGTAATTGAGATTTTAAGTTCCTGTATATCTCTTTGAGTCTGCTTCATGCAATCTATTTCTTTCCTATATTGCTTATTCAAGGATTCCATCATTTTTCTATTCTCCTCTATATTTTTATCAGTGTCTTCTTTAGAAGTAGTTGTTAATTCTTTCATTATAGTTATCCCTTCTTTTTTATTTCAGAGGTTATTTGTGATTTCCTCTATACCTTTCTGCTGTTGTTTCTTTACTTCAGATGCTATTAATTTAGAGATCTCAGCTATGTGATTCCTAATTTCTTCTAAAAGTCTCATACATTTGTTCTGGGTGGGTTCAGGGCCTGAGATTGCATTTTTCTTCTTGTCTTTGTCATTTTGTATACACTGTCTTCTGACCTTTGTTGTAGAAGTGGTGCAATTATAACCTTAACACCTACTGAAATTCTTACCGAAGGGAGATTATATGGTTAAGGCAGTTATAGTCTGGTATTTACAAAACTACAATTAGGAACACTAATAATCAGTGGTGATATTTAGCTGTTGACAAACTTTTATAACTAATGGGTTTGTATTTAGACAGTAAGAGCAAGCATTATATCTGTATAGCTAAGCAGATATTAAATTGGAAATTTGTATTTAAGTTAGTGTCCTTAAGTTCTGTCTGATCACCTCCCCTTGATGAACCTGGAGTTTTCCAGGCAGACTAGTTCACCCTGGTTACCTTTTTCCCACTCTTTTTGTCAAGAGAGAAAGATCTATGTTTTCATAGATCTGGGTCTAGCAAAGTGTTTCAGCTTGCAGGGTTCAGATCTACAAAGTTTGAACTCGTCCCAATGTGCCTGGCTTGCCTGGGGAGATGGCTCAGTAGAATAAGTGCTTCCCTGGCAAGCACAAAAACCTGAGTTCAATCCCCAGTTCCGCAAAAAAAACCAATGTGCCTGGCTTGGGTCTGGCTGCTGTGCTCAGCTTCTTCCTGCTGCAGCTGTTGGAAGTGAACCTTTTATGCCCCTCTGGCAAGATGTTCTGCTCCTGGATTAGCTGGGTGGGTCTGGCCCCTCATCTCTCTGCAGGTACTTCAGCTGGAGAGTTTCACACCAAGCCTGTACTAGGTCTGGAGGGATTCCGAGAGCACAGTGGAAGGTCTCACTCACACACTGGGCCTGGGCTGGGTCTGAAAGGGTCTGGCAGGCACGGCAGAGTGGAAGTTCTCCGACTCACAAACCAGGCCTGGGCTGGGTCTGGAAGGGTCCAGCCTGAAAAAAAATTATACTATTGGGATGGAAATTACAATAATGGGTGCCAGAGGATATAAGTAGGAGAAGGGATAAACTACAAAAGATCGTGTATTTTAAGTTGCGAGGAGTAATGGGAATAACCCCTCTATGAGGTATGTTTAAACAATAAAGTGGGGCCAGCCAGGTAGCTCAACCAACTAAAGTGCCAGCTTAGGTAAAGTGTAGCAGCTGTGGTTCCATCTCCAGCGTGCAGTACCAGCCCTGCCCCCGGGATGCACTGAGAGGGTGATTGAGTCTGGGAGTGGCAGTGCGTGCCTGTAATCCCAGTGCTTAGGAGCCTGAAAACAGGAGGATCAATACAAGTCTGATCTGTGTAGTGAGACCCTGTAGACCCAGTACCAAATACATAAAAAAAATACATAAGCAAGCAATAATATAGTGAATAATCCTTAATTGATTCAAAGTATGGCCTTTTCTGTCAGAAGCATTGTGATATGTCCTCGTCCATCTCATTCATCATGTCTGTCATCACACAATTTCTGATTCTCCCCAAATCAAAATGTCCATGAAAAGAAAGTGTTTTTAATCAGTTCAGACATTGAGGCAGCCACAATACCACCACTAAAGTCACTTATCAAAGACTTTCAGACTTGCTTCAGACCATGGCTAGAACAATGGGGCAAGTGGTTTTGAAGCAAAAGGAATATTTTAGGGAAAATTAATGGCAATGTGTCTTTTACTGCAATATTTTTTTTCCAGTACTGGAAATTAAACTCAGGACTTTGTGCTTGCCAGGCAGACACTTATTCCACCGAGCTATATCCCTTCCTCTTGTAATACTTTTTTAAAACATCTACTGTATTTTTCAATCATATCTTATGTACCTTGATTGTGTTGTTAGTTATATATGGTGGCTGTGATTCACAGAACTATAGTGTTTGCCTATATTTTAGAACATGGGAGGCTAAAGCAGCAGTACTGCTTTGCATTTGAGGCTAGCCTGGTCTTCATAGTGAGTTCAAGGTCAACCTGAACTACTTATAAGATCCTGCCTCCATAAAAACACTTTTTTAAACTTATATAAGCTATGCTTCGGTATACCTAACTCTCTCTCTCTCTCTCTCTCTCTCTCTCTCTCTCTCTCTATATATATATATATATATATATATATATATATATATATATATCCTCTAGGACATTTTTAGGCATTCTAGAGGGTTTATTTATTTATTTTTATGTATTTTGTGCAGGGTCTCACTGTGTAGCTTGAACTCGTAGTGATCCTCCTGTTTTCAGCCTCCCCAGACTGGGATTATGGACCACCAGCCTTGGACTCTGAGGCTGGCTCAGCGCACCTAGGGATGGGGCCGGCACAGTGTGTGATGCTGGGGATTGAACCCCAGCCCCTGCACTTGCCTAAGCAGGCACTTAGTCCACTGAATTATCTCACCAGCCCTTAGATATTCTAGAGTTTAAGCAACACTCTTCTGAATTATTGTTCTCTAAAGTGGGGGCATACATCTCTAGGGTTCTATAGGACAAAACCTTAGGATATAGAAAGAAAAGTAATGTTATTTATAATTTTTAATGAAAAGGTAAAGAAGAAATTACATTTTCTTAGCATTGGAAATCCATTTGAAACATTTACTTATTTTCATATACTGAATATCATTGTTACCCAGACTCCATCTGTCTTATGCCAGGTTCACAAACTGTCCCAAGGGAAGACTGAGGATCATGTAATGAATTGGTCAACCGTTACGATCTCATTTTTTCATTTGCTTTCAGAATATTAGTATATACTACATACAGTTCATTTCAATTTATGGATTATATCTAGGATTAAATAAATTAATCCTTAAAAAATGGACAAATGGAGACACTTCCCATCATTGCTTATAGACTGGAAGTTGGAAACTTAATTCTCTTTTCTATCTTGCAAGATGGCAGGTGAAAAAACTGAGAAGCCAGACACTAAAGAGAAGAAACCCAAAGCCCAGAAGGCTTCTGCCAGTGGCACTGGTAAAAAGGGTAAGGTGAAGA